AAGGAAGTGGATCCAGATCCTGATCGCAATGACCAAGGCAGTGCCAAAGGGCCATGCACAGGAGACCGGTGTCAAGCCAATGAGACGGTGGACTGGTGCCGGGTCGACCTTTCCGGAGACTGGTGCCCAGTATCCGATGTCGGTGATCGAGGACGAGGGCCCAGTGCCGTGGATGAGTGGCTCTCACCGTGGGTAGCTCTCACCGATGGCAGACCGGTGCTGGAGAGGGGGAGCGTCGCACTGGTGTTAGAGATGCTCTTACAGTGTTTGATGCTGGGGTGCGGTGCCGTGGCGATAGCGACTGGGAGCGGTGCTGCGGATGGTGCCAAGCCGGGGACTGTGAGCGTCGCATCATAGCCGGCTTACCTCTAGATGCTACCGGACGTATCAGTACCGGAGGCTTGTCCCTCAGAACTGGGGCCTGTGAAGTGTCTGGGGTGGAGGGTGGCTCTAACTCCTCCACCTGGCATTGCCCTTGCGGAGAGTTGCTGAATGCCGGACTCATTGGTCCCCTCTGGGGCACCGAAGTCAACGGCACCGACTCATGCTGTTTTGGTGCCAAGTGCATTCTGGGGTGCGCCTGTGCATCCCCGATGGTCCCATGGCTTTTGGAGCTGGTGAGCACCCCCTTTCAGTCTTCCTATGCCGCTTGTGCAGCACCGATGAAGTCAAACGGTGCCGGGTCGCTGCCCCTAGCTGCGCTGCTGGGGAGCGCTGGTGCCGAGGGTCTCCTGTACTAGAGTCCTTCCTTGGCACCATATCAAGTACCGATGCCGGAGCCCTCCACATGGACGCGCTCAGTGCTGGGTCCAGGTGGTCCGTAGCAGGCTGGGGACGCAGAGCAGATTCCATGAGAAGTTACTAGAGGCGGAAATCTTGCTCCTTTTTGGTTCTCGGCCGAAAAATCCTACACATTTTGTACTTCTCAGTCTGGTGCGCCTTCCCCAGACACTTTAAGCAAGAGTCGTAGGGGTTATTAATGGGGATAGGCTTGTTGCGAGCAACACAGGGCTTAAAGCCCTGGGGTCGCAGCATGCCCCAGAGCCTGAGGAGGGGTTAGGGACTGGGGAGACATCCTGCTCCCAAACCTTACTATGTAAGCTAAAACAAGTAACTAGAACAACTAACGAGGGAGAAACGCTAAGGAAGGCCCTTGCTGAGCAAGTGAATGCTGTTCCAACGGCTGTCATGTATGGTAAGAAGGAACTGAAGGGGGGTCGGGTCGGCAGGATCATATATTGAGTGCCATGAAGGTGCCACTCCAGAGGGCTCCACAGCCAATCTGACGGGAGCTGCTAAGGGAAAACTTTCCGATGACCACGCGTGCAGCGTGCACACACCGGATTGGAATCGATGTGAACAAGCACTTGAAGAAGAACCAGATTTTTATGACACCCAATCCAGTGTCCTCACCATTGGACTACATTATCCCTTGTCTAAAACTTTTGGAGTTTCCCATATCTCAAACTATACAGAAGAGTGAAGTGTATGAAGATAAGCAGTTTTGTAGGTTTCACAAAGGTTCAATACGTGACCCTGAAGATTAGGTTGTTCTTTAAATGGGAATGTACTCATTTGAATTGAAACATGATATTGCATGTTTGGGCAAAAGCAAGGACAGATCAAATTAAATCATCTTTAAAGAGGATGATAATTAGTTGAAAAATGTGTTAACAGGTATTGGTAGTAATTTGGACATCCATTTGAAAGGAAACTGAAATGGTTAAGTATCCTTGAAATATTTAGTTGGATTTCAATTAATAAATTAAAGATCCTGGTCTTGGTTGTGAGGGTTTCCATCTGTGCTGTTCTACAGCATAATATGTCATCTGAGTGGCTGAGTAGTATTAGGCCAGGTTTTGAAGGGAATGGACTGCAGGGCCTGGCTGGAGTTAATGTGCTGCACTAAGTGAAGCTATCCAATGGTGAATGTGTTTTATAGAAAGAAAGATGGGGAAAATTCAACCACTAAGTTCTTGGCACAGATTCATTTGATCCATTAATCAATTAATGTCTCCCAGCAGAGGACAGAAATAATTCAATGTACTTGTTAATCTGTGCCATAGGTAAAACTTCCACTGGTAGTTTTGGAATTAGATCCTGAAACCTTTATTTATACAGTCATATTAACTTGAAACTACTTGCATATATTCTTTTCATGTAGAGTCACAGAATAAGGTCCTTCTTTCTGAACAAGTTATATATGTTATAATACTGTTTTTTCCTTGTAAAAGTTAGCTGGCATCAAAATGGAGGAACTCGGTGAGAGAATCCAAAGAGGAAAACGTGAACTGACATTGATCCATGATGATCTTGGAATTATGTGAAAATCTAAACAATGCAGACAGTAAGTATCACTTGCCACCAGACCTTGCCTAAGAGCTTAACAGCTCAAGCTGGTTTTCCACAACATGTCTCAGCCAGTCCATGTGGTTAACTATTGTTTCTAATATTATGGACAATTTTCTTCCTGCTTGTTTTGTTAACATGGGGAGTCATCAATTTACGATAACATACCACTTCTGACTCTAAAATGAAGAGTAGCACTAATAGAAATGTTCTTTTTATGAACCCAATTTAACAGAGAAAAGTAGAACAATTATATTCAATTAAAGCAGATCCAACAACTCCGGCTGCATAGGATTAAAACCACTGTAAACATGTGACACAAAAAGTTGATACAAAAGCTGGAAAAGAATCATGTGGCCAAGAATGAATTAGTATAGCTTAAAAATATAGCTTTCAAAAAGTTCAAGAATGGACTATAGTAGGTACCATTTCCTATTCCTACTTACATTCATGTCAAGCTACAGTATCTTCTGTGTTCTTTATAAAGGGGAAGACAGATCAGCATTCCACTATATTATAATCATCATAACTACTGTCCTACTCTCACCTTTCCAATAGTCCGTATTTTGACAGACTAGCCTCCAGCTCTTCTTCAATGACTGTCAAAACAGTTAAAAGGGGATGATAAAAGGGTCTGTCAATCAAAATCACAAGGCATTAGTAAAGGTCAAAGTGGAACTATTTAATATTAAACTTTCAAAGACCGAGACACTAAAATTCGGATATCCTGGTTTTCAATTCAGAGACTGTAAAAAGAAGAGAAAACCTCTTAAGATGAATCTATCTTTCTGACAAGGACAAATGAAAACAGCAATGGTACCAACTTAATTCAGTCTTAAAGCTGCAATGTTGGTGTCCTTACTGAATATTGTATGAAACTAGAGTCCTCAGTTTTATTTAAATGATGTCCCCATAGCTTTGCTTCTCTTCCCTTGTTTTTCTCTGAATTATTTTGCTTAATTTTTGCCGACATGAAAAACCTGTGACTTTTGCAACACTTAGTGCAGTATTAACCGTTGTCTCTTTACCGGTCAAGCCTTACATGTATATGCTCATACAATTTCAATTATCTCATTAATTCTGATTTTGATGTCCAGAACTAATAAGACCAAGAAGCGAAAATACCATATTGATCACAGATCTGCCAAATTGTAACAATATGACAATGTCTCTTTGGTAAAACCATTCTGCCAGCTTCACAAAAAAGCCACATTGAAACCATAGAGATAACACCACTGAACAGAAAAGCATAGGAGACCAATCAGTGAGACAAAAATAAATAACTTGTGAAGCCAAGGTCCACAGCAAGCCACAATTTTACACCAGGCTCAGGGCAACCACCAGATACTTTAAGAGTGTTCTATAAAATATGAACTCAGAAGTAGTTACAGCCTTTAAATGACAGTTTTGTTTATGCAGTTTAATGACAAGCAAAATAAATAAGACGGGACCTGATCTGACATGGCTTTGAGTAGCTCAACTCCCATTCACGCGTGTGAGTGCTGAGGATAATCAGTACTTTGTAAAACAGAATTCTTAATAAATAAGCACAGATAGAATATAATAAAATATATGGATAAAATCCAGAAAATACATGATTTATAAATAAACATACTCATCCTGAAAATCAACTGCAATAAGACAGATATCATGACCTTTAATATTGCCTCTCGATCACCAATACGGATAGAGGATTATTTTCTCACAAATGTAGAAACATTCACGTACTTGGGCAGCACCATCAGCCAGGACGGTGGAACAAGCCAGGACATCCGTAACAAAATCAATAAAGCCAGGAACACCTTCAGGAGCTTAAATACAGTCTGGAAACCATCAAAATACACCACCAAACCCAAACTCAAGATTTATCAGAGCCGCGTACTTTCAACACTACTTTATAGTGCAGAATGCTGGGGAATGAGAAAGTATGACATGTCAAAACTGTCTTCATTCCATACAACCTGCCTCAGAAAAAACCTCCGTATCTTTTGGCCCAGAACAATCTCAAACCAAGATCTATTGACACAGGGCAGCCAAGAGGATCTGAGCACCATCATTGCCAGGAGGTGTTAGAGATGGATTGGCCATGTGCTTTGGATGGAAACTAATTCCATCACCAGAGTAGCAATAAGATGGACACCTGAAGACAAGCGAAAATGAGGCTGCCTGAAAATAACATGGCAAAGAGCTGTGGAAGCTGAACTGAAAATCCTGGGGCACAGCCGGGGAACCATTGAAAGACTTGCCAGAAACAGACAGGAGTGGAGGAGCTTCGTCGCTGCCCTAAACGCCAGAGGCCTAATGGGAACATGATGATGATGATGACCTATACATTATGTATCAGTCATTCTTCTGCTAACAGAATATTTATTTAAGAACATAAGAACGGCCATAATGGGTCAGACCAAAGGTCCATCTAGCCCATTTACTTATTTAACATTTTTCCAGAGAACAAACTCATGTAAAATGATAAATCTGTTTAAGGGATCCTTTCTAACTTACAAAACTACATCTCGTAAAAACTCCATGGTGACTCAAAATGGAACTAAAAAACAAATTCTGCAGTCAAATACATCCGCAAACAGCTACTTTGGTATCAATTTAGTTTTAAGTTTTGATTAAATGAAAGACACATACAAATGGATACTCACACGATATGAGCAAGATCAAGTGGCTTCTCTGGCTGTTCAGGAAATACAGGATGAGGTGGTTCTCTAGTGGGCACACAACCAAGAGATTTACTAATTGCATGGCTCAGCTTCTTGGCAGGCGATTTCTGTTTTTCAAAGAAAGTCAAACAATGAGTAGATCAATCTGTGCAAGGAAAGAGCACAGCCGTTAAAAAATATCCCACATTAGAAAATCTTTGTGTAAATACCATATCTAGCTGATTAGTACGAAGTCATGCATCCAGTACAATTCAGACCCTGTAAACAGGGTGAGTGGCTGAATTAATCTCTACATTCCTATTGAGCTGGAATTTTGAAAGATGGTAGACTCATTCATTAGACTGCTAAATCAAGAAATATCCCAAATGTGAACTCTGACCTTTCTATCAGGGTCACACCAAAAGGTCATTAGTCTTTGGCATGGTATTTCAGCTATTAAGTGGCCTTTTGAGATATAATTTTGAAATATGATGCACCCATCAGAACCTGCCACCACCTCTCCCTTTAGAACAAAGGAGGTGCTGCTTAAACAGAAGAAGGAAATAAACACTTAAGGATACTTAGTCAAGATCATCACAAGGGTGGACTATTCTTAACTATCAACAACTACTCTGTTTTTTGTCTTTTAAGGATTTACATCACATTCATATATGGTAGCAAACCTGAGAGGAGTACTGTCAGGGATAGAAGCAAGTCACGTGGGCTTCACCCCAGAAAGACTGAAATGAAGACGATAACTATTTGTGACGCTCTGTGCCTTGGGGAACCCCCTGCACTCCCATGTCCATCCTTATAATATGATTGTGGTATCCAATGCAAAGTTTGTCATGTCGGGTGTCTTCGTAAGGCTGATGATGCACTGAGCATTATTGTTATAGTAATGTTATAGGTTGTAATTTCATGTATATAGTTATGAGGCTGAAAATGTGTCCTCATAGGTTAAGCCTCATCTTGTCTACCATAAAGAATTAGTTAAATAAACCCAGTGACAGTGAGACTAATTACTTTTTCTAACTTATTAACATATTATTGAGTTTAAAGTAATGTTTTTGTGTACCAAATATGTTATCCTGTAAAAAATGGGAGAACATAATTCCCATTTGTTTAATGGAATAAGGGGACCGTCTCTTTGACCAATATATTTCTTATAATATTGCCCACCGTCCCCCAGCCCTTCCATGATCCCAAATTCATAAACATCCCTGAATTCTCAGCAGTTGTGAGTCCCCTCCATTTCTCACTCACCTCCACTGACTTTATAGTTGACTCCCCAAAAACACCCTCTTCACCCTTAATATTTTTGTCCCTCTCCTATTGCACCATCCACTTAAATAACTATCAACCACTTCCTCCATCCAAGTCCTGTGCTACTGAAAATCTGTGGAGAAAATCCAGGGATCACACAGACTTCCTCCACTACAAATTCACCCTTTCCTCCTTCAGGTTTATCTTCCACTAACAGCTGTTCTCTTTCCCTCCCCCATTACGATTCACCCTATAGCGTCCATCATTTGTCACCCTCCGCTCTATCCTCAATCCTTTTCCCCAGGATTCTTCTCAGGATTGCACTGACTTGAAGATCAAACAGTTCAGATTTGATCACTTTCCCTCTACCCTTACGTCTATCACTCACGCATCACTTTTGTGTCCAAGTGCTACCATCTCATCACCATTTCTTTCCCTCCTCACACCCTTTCCCTCCTGTCACTGACTGATGGTCATTCACTTAATTCTCTATTTCCCTTACCGCAAACTGTCCCCTCAATTTTCTCTGCTTCACCCTCAACCTCTCCTTATAATCTGACTCTTTCCACTCAAACTACAACCCAGGCTCCAGTATTCTTCCACTGTAAAAATAAATAAATAAATAAATAACCCAAACAGCTTTTCAACCCAATTGCCCCTCCAACTACTGTGCTACTTCTCTTTACGTCCTGAATGGGCTATTTACATCTCTTGCTTTTACTTTCTTCTTATCTCACTGATTCCTCTCTCCTCTCCAATCCTGCTTCCTCCCTCTGCACTCTACCAAACTTGCTCTTTCATGATCACTAACCATCTTTTTCTTTCCCAAATCTAGTGATTTCTATCCCACCCTTTTCCTTTGTACTTTTCAAAACTAATGATTACTCTCACGTTGAATCCTGTCCCCCTGCCACCTTTGTTTCTATAGCACTGTCTTCTCTTGGTTCTCCTCCTACTTCTTATCAGTCCTTCAATGTCATTTGCAGAGCCCTGCGTGGATACAAAATTTGTATCTGCATCCGATCTGCAAACATTGTCTGTAGATATCCGCAACTGTGTAGTAATTTTGTGATGCCAAAGACGTCCATTATGAATTAATATAAAGCCACTGAACGCAAACAGTATCCCACTTGGATGTGAGTCTCTGGAACTGACAGTGTAACAAATTAAAGTAGTAAGAAACCTTGCTTCTCATCCCATATTAATCAGTGGAGAAAAAAACGTATTCTCTGTGCTTTCAAATTTAAGGCATTAAGAAAAGAAGAGTACTTTGTATCAAATTTATACCTTGTGATAAAGTTGGGACTGATTTTACATCCCAGTTGTCATTTGTATTTTGATAATTAATCGATAAGTATTAATAGTTAAGAACTGCAGTCTCACCTTTTCTAAAATAATGAATTGGTTACATAAAACAGTGACTGAGACTAACACTCAAAGGCCCCAGTCAGGATCAGGGACCCATTGTGCAAGGCACAGTACACATCCAGAGGTAGACATTGTTCCAGCTTCAAAGAGTTAAAGATCTAACTAGCCAAGTGAATCAGATAAAAAGAATGAGCTAATACTACAGAGAGGTTACATTTCCTCACAGCTTCTAATAGCTTTAACATTAGAAAAATGTGCAAATGCACACTTGGCGATTCTAAAAAAGATGCCTCACAGACAAACTTGTTTCCACCCTTGTGCTTACACGTGCAGTTATCAGCAAGATTCTAAACATTTTCTACGTCTTCACCAATATCATTCTCACGTTAACCTTAAAAGCTATACATGGCTCGTGACTGTAAGCTGCACAGGAGTGGTCACTGAGAAGCAAGACACAAGAGTCTCTCCCAAAACTGTACTGGGTGACAACAGGTTAGTATCTCTCAGTCATACAAGAAATTGTTTTTAAGGCCTGGTCTATACTAGAAAGTTTTGCATGCACAGCAGTGTGGTCTAGGAGTGTGAAAAAAATCACGTACACCCAGCCAACACAGCTATGCCAGCAAAACTCCCAGTGTAAATGCAACTATGCGTACAGAAGGGTGCTTCAGCTGGCATAGATAATGTTGTTTGGGGAGATGATATAGCTATGCCAGCATATGCCTTCTGATGACTTATGCTGCATCTACACTACAGGACTCAGCCAGCATAGCTAACCAGCCAAGGGAGAAATTGGTTGTGAATCTGAAGATTGAAGGTAATTTGGGTGAAAGTTATCATGAAATGATAGATTTCAGTATTCTAAGGAAGGAAAGGAGTGAGAGCAGCAGAATAAGGACAATAGACTTCAAAAAGGCGGACTTTAACAAACCCAGAAAACTCGTAGGTAAGTTTCCCTGAGAAAAAAATCTAAGGGAAAAATAAGTTAAGGAGAGTTGGTAGTTTCTCAGAGACAATATTAAAGGTAGAACAGCAAACTATCCCAATGTGAAGGAAAGATAGGAACAATAGTAAGAGACGACTATGTCTCCATCAGGAACTCTTTAATGGCCTTAAAAAAAAAAAGAGGAATCCCACAAAAACTAGAAACATGGACAAATTACTAAGAATACAAAAAAATAGCACAAGAATGTAAGGACAAAATCAGAAAGGCTAAGTCACAAAATGAGTTACACCTAACAAGGGACATAAAAGGCAACAACAAGAGGGTCTTTAAAGACATTAGGAACAAGAGCAAGACAAACGAAAGTGTGAGAACTATTAATGGATCACATCAAAAAGGTTGTGGGATTTAAAGCCTATTTTACTTCAGTCTTTATTAAAAAGGTTAATTGTGACCAGATGCTCAACACACTTAATATTAACTACAAGGTGGAAGGAACAAAAGCCAGAATAAGGGAAGAACAGGTTATAGAATATGTAGACAAATCAGATGTATTCAAGTCTGCAAGGCCTGATGAAATTCATCCAGGTACTTATGGAAATAGTTGGAGGAATCCCAGAAGCATTAGTGGTTATCTTTGGGAACTCATACAGGACAGGTGAGGTCCAAGAGGACTGGAAAAGGGTAAACATAGTACCTATCTTTAAAAAGGGGAACAAAGGGGACCCGAGGAACTATACAGCAGTCAGCCTAACTTTGAGATCTGGACTGATACTGGAACAAATAATTCAACAATCAATTGGTAAGCACTTAAGAGGATAATAGGGTAATAAATAATAGACAACATGGATTTGTCAAGAACAAATCATGCCAAATTAACCTAAACGACCTGGAGATTACAATGGACGAGAAGCTGGAAATAAGTCAGCAGTGTGCCCTCGTTGCCAAAAAGGCCAACGGCATATTGGGCTGTATTCGTAGGAGCACTGCCAGCAGATAGAGGGAAGTGATTATTCCCCTCGATTCGACACCGGTGAGGCCACACCTGGAATACAGCATCCAGTTTTGGTACCCCCATGACAGAAGGGATGTGGACAAATTAGAGAGAGTCCAGCGGAGGGCAACGAAAATGATTAGGGGGCTGGGACACATGACTTACGAGGAGAGGCTGAGGGACCTGGGGTTATTTAGTCTGCAGAAGAGAAGAGTGAGGGAGGATTTGATAGCAGCCTTCAACTACCTGAAGGGGGGTTCCAAAAAGGATGGAGCTCGGCTGTTCTCAGTGGTGGCAGATGACAGAACAAGAAGCAATGGTCTCAAGTTGCAGTGGGGGAGGTCTCGGTTGAATATTAGGAAACACTTTCACTAGGAGGGTGGTGAAGCACTGAAATGGGTTACCTAGGGAGGTGGTGGAATCTCCTTCCTTGGAGGTTTTTAAGGTCAGGCTTGACAAAGCCCTGGCTGGGATGATTTAGTTGGGGATTGGTCCTGCTTTGAGCAGGGGATTGGACTAGATACCTCCTGAAGTCTCTTCCAATCTTAATATTCTAT